ACATTTTAACTTAACAAGAGAAAAAGAATATTAAAAGTATATGACTTTGATGCTTTGTTATAAAGTATTCCACTGGGCCATATTTGAAGATTACAATAGAATAAATATGAATAAAACTACTAGTCAGCAATTAATGCATTAAGACTCTATTTTCCTCCCTTTGTATTTATCAAATGGAAGAAAGAAGAATGGAACCTACCAAGATTTTATAACTACTAGTGAACTGCTGTGTACAATGACCATAATCCTAACCAGGCCCTATCACACCGACAGGAAATGGTACCTAAAGCAGAATCAATATCATAATCTGACAGTGTGTCAAATTTAAGCAGCATGATTTTTCTGGACTAATAGCATTAAGAGCAGCTAGAAGAGACTATCGTTATTTTGTTGTGACACAACACAGCTTCTCCAGTTCTTTAGTGGAAATTGTTCAGTTTAGGATGAAACACCCTATTAAGGAAGCTAGATCTATGGGCACTGTACTTTGCAGCATGGCAAAACACAGGAAACAGACCAGAGACAAAGTCCCTTGCAAAGACCGTCCAGCTGCCAGCAGAGAAGAGTTCAAATAAGATCAACGTACTTCCTCTTGCTATTCCTCTTCTGGAGAAGATGCTGGTAAGCTCACTTAGTTCAAGCTATTTTCTCTACCCTATGTATGGTGCAAACAAGGCTCAAACGGAAAGAATCACCGGAAACATCACTCCCTCAAGAGCTCATCCATGCTGAACTGTACCTCGTATTCAGAGAGCAGCTTAAGAAAAAAACACTGGAGAGGTAGTGGCAAGTTGCCAGGGAGCACCATGTAATATGAAAAAATATACAAATAAAACCATCATCTCACTCAGGCTAACAGAATGTGCCAACAGTTGTCCTTCTCTGTGGTGGGAGAAGAAAAAATTCTTTTTACTTTATGAAAAGCAAAACTGCGACTGTCTTGGCATGTCTCATGACAGAGAACCAAGGCATACAAGGTCTGCCATGTTTTAATACTACAGATTGTTTACATACTCATTCCTCTAAAGAAAAAGATCTGTGAACATCTATTGATTCGTCTGTAGTGTTCACTCTCTGGCCTTATTTCCAGTTGCAAGGTAGGTATAAAGGTCTTTGTGATTTCAGTTTTATCAACTGCAACCTCTTGAGATTGTTCCCTTTCATTGCTGGAGGCTACCAGGACCCAACTCATCCGGTGGTATGGTCCAGGTAGTGCTCTATGACTGCTACATGATGTCTTTTTTCTCAGCCTGCCCTTTTATGTTACAAATGTCTATAGAAACTACCTTGGCACTTTAAGTTGCCTAAAATCCAAAAAGATATTCACTGTATTATTTCAACTATATGATTATTATGGAAAAAGGAAAACCATGGAGGTAGAAAAAATATATATATGGTTGCCAGGGGTGCAGGGGAAAGAGGGATAAATAGGCATAGTACAGAGAACTTTTAGGCCAACGAAACTATTCCGCACATGATACTACAATGGCAGATACATGTCATCATACATTTGTTCAATCCACAGAATGTACAACCAAGAGTGAGCTCTAATGTAAACTATGGACTTGGGTGCTAATAATGTGTCAATGGAGGTTCAGCAATTATAACAAATGTACCTCTGGTGGAGGATGCTGATAATGGGGCCATTCATGAGAGGGTGGGGTATATGAGAAATCTCTGTACCTTCCTCTCAATTTTGCTGTGAACCTAAAACTGCTCTAAAACATAAAGTTATTAATTAAAACAAAGATATTCCCTCAACCTGCTATTATCATATATTATATAGCAAGACACAGTCACTTTGAAAATTGGAACTAAAGATCAAAGTAAAAGAATATGCATATTATCTCCCAAATTGAAGGACATAAAAATACACACAGGAAATAATTTTAATATCATACTTAGGCAAAAAAAGTTGATTAAAATAATTGATTATTTTACCTAGTTTTATAATTACAAATAGGCATTTAGCACAACATGAATCAAAACTTTTCTATCCATATACTTAAAACAAAATTTTTATTCTAGTGTTAAATCAGAAATCATTATGCTTATTTTATCTAACAATTTACTGAAAGGTTAATCAGATAAGGACAGATTATAATTACCTAATATTGCCATAGCAATTTATGTACAAATACCTCTTAAATATTCACCAAGAGTTAAAAAAGAAACCAACACTATAACTTCATATGGACGGTGCAGCTGAGACCAGTACCATGAGATGTTATATCATGATAGTACTTGCGGTTAAAATAAAACTAAGACAACACCAAAAATTTGGTTGAGGCTGTAAGTGCTATGCAGAAAAGATCTCACATAGCAGGCATGAGACTGCTATTTTTAAAACCCGCTTGCAAGGCTAGCCCTCGGCTTGAATGTGGGAAATTGGGTTGGGGAGGGTCCCCACCATTCTCTTAATAGTAAGAGTGGCTCACTGTGCCTACACTGCAAGAACAATGTGGTTTACTCCGAACAGCTGCCTTCCTTCTGGAGACTGGAATTTTGTACATGGGAGGGAGAGGATGCCTAGGTGACTAACCTTCACTAAAAAAGTGTTCATACTGGGTCTCTAATGACGCTCTGGCACTGGTAGACAACATTGCATGTGTGTTGTCATGGGGGAAATAAGCAAATCTGGATAACTCCATAGGAGAGGACTCTTGAAGCGTGTGCCTGGATTAATCCAGACTTCATTGCATGCACCTCTTCCCTTGGCTAGTTGTGCTTTTTATCCTTCTCCCTGTAATAGATAAACCCATGAGTACGACTCCTTGGTAGGTCCTGTGAGTCCTTCCAGTGAATCACCAAACCTGGGAGTGGTCTTAGGAAACCTTGACACAATTGCATTCGATGAAATTTGTATTATTTGAGTTCATGTGGTATATGTGACTATAATCAGAAGGATGTTTCACAGAATATCTTTCCCTAATCTGTTTTTCTTTTTATTTGCCTTGGAGATTCCTGCATTTCTTTATTCATTTGAATAAAGGTAGAAAAGGGATAGATGAAACAATGATGTCAAAAAATAATGTGAAACAAGCAACAATCCTATTTAACCATAATATGAAGAGAGAATCTTGATGATTGACAGTATGTTCTATAGTATGAAAGTTTCCATAAAGGAAATGAAAAGATCACACAGTCAATTTTGTCTAATTCAGAAGAGTTTAATTACTTTTCACAGTAGTTTTGCAGCAATCAGGTAACTGGGATAATTATGGAAAAACATATAATCAACATATATAGTATAACAATGTAGTGCTGATCACAGCATTCCTTCTACTTCTTTCTAATCTTTTTCTTAATTTCTCCTATAAAGCTAAAAACATAGTTCACCTATTAAAGGCAATTCTTGAGAGAACAGGTCAAAATCATTGCTTCCAAAATGTAGGATGTTATCCATTCCACTGCAAAAATAGTGGATTTGATCACTATGGATAATAGGGATTTTAACTTATTTGGGGGGGGGGGAGTAAGTTATCATGCACATAAATAGTTAAGTGCTGTAATCCAACTCACCACGTATTCCAGTCAAACCACAGACCACGAGTTTCTGGAGAACTATAACACCATAAAAGCATTTCACCTTAAAACTATACAAGATAAAATGAATTTCTATTTTCCTCTCTGGAAGGATTCTTTCTACCTTCTCATTTTAGAGTTCTTTCACCTCCGTGGTTAAATTGATTCCTAGATATATATATATATATATATATATTTTTTTTTTTTTGGTGACTATTATAAACAGGCTTGCTTTCTTGATTTCTTTTTCTGCTAGTTCATGTTGGAATATAATAATGCTATTGACTTTGGGGTGTTGAACTTGTATCCTGCAAATTTACTGAAATTATTAAACAGCTGTAAGAGTTTTTTGGTAGAGTCCTTAGGTTTTTCTATATACAAGATTATGTCGTCTGCACATAGGGGCAGTTTGACTTCATCCTTTCCAGTCTGGATGCCCTTTATTTCTTTCTCTTGACTGACTGCTCTAGCTAGTACTTCCAATACTACATTAAATAGGAGTGGCAGTCTTGTTCCTGTTCTTAAGGGAAAAGCTAAAAGCTTCCCCCCCCCCCCCCTC